TATATATATATATATATATATATATATCATAAACGTTTTTTATTATATTATAATATTCTTTTTTTAGGAAACGGGACAAAGCAAAAATGAAAAAATTTGTGAAGCCGGATCATAAACTAAATTTGATTTGAAACATTATATAGTTTATAAGAGAACTATGTAATTTACAATAAAGAGAATTTAATAGCTATATAAATAGGAATAATTATATAAATCTTATATAATCTCAAAGACAGAAAGAAAGAAAAAAGTACTAACGAGATAATATTAAAGACGATCGGTCTTATGAAAGTTCGAATAACTTAAAATTAAGTGATTAATGGTGAATTCGATCATTCTCGCACTACATTGACCAGTGCATATTGAAAGCTGTTTTATTTAAAATATCTCATTGTAATATAATATAATCAACTTTGACGAAATGATACATGTATATTTTAAATAACGTGATAATATCATTAGTAGATCATTAATTATTTAAAAAATGTATATATTAAATTTACATTTAACTTTGCTAATTTCAGAGTATAGTAACTTTTAGTACGCACTAATAGCATAGTACAAGTGACTGAATTCGTTAATATATGTGAATAAATAATTGATAATAATTAGTAAATTAAATAATTGATATAATAATTGATAAATTACTAATTTTATGATTTATTAGTTTCGTAAATATATATGTATATATGTTTAAAACTCTCTCTCTCTCTCTCTCTATTTGCTTTCATAATTTTTTATTTCTTATTCGATTTTGGTTTATTTTGTTACACTTCATTTTAGTCATCTTTTAGAGATCTTACTTAAATTCTTTTAAATTTCATTTTTATTGTTCATGATCATTTATTTTTTATTTTTGAATTTTTTTAACACATGTTTAATATCGTATAAAACTTGCAATTGTTCTTGCAATTGGTTAGATACCCATCTCTTCCGATTCTCTTCAATATTGAGTTTTTCTTTTTCGCAGTAAAGTAATACTTCTATATAGTTCATGCGCATCTCACATTTGTGCGCTAGAATTTTAGCATTATCTTTGTTCATCATATATTGCTCTTCAGTGAAATAATTAAATTTGTCTTTGGCTAAATTAACATTCGCCGCTTTGCGGCGAATATCACGTAACATTGTGATTATAGATTTTTCTAATTCAGAAATTACTTTAGATTTTATCGTGCGTAAATGTATATTACGGATTTCTCTTTTGTGTTCTTTTGCTGCATTCCTATGAAATAATAAATGTCACAATGTAATTTATAAAAATACGTTAAATTAAAAATAGACTTTTAAACATATGCAAGGTATTCTATTTGTAGCTTTTGGAAGTAATTATCTCCCAAATTGTTCGTTGTTCCAAAAAATGTTTCAAGTGATACTTACTTTGTTTCGAGAGGGATATCTTTTAATGATCACAGATTCTCCGTAGATAGACGTACCTCCAAGATTTCAAGGTGATTTTTATTTTTTTAAATTAAATTATATAGTTTTTTTATATAATATGAGATTTCTTTATTTATTTTGCATATAAAAGTATTAAGATAGAGATAATAAAAAATCAATAGTCTACAAGACATTTTAGAGAAAGATCCGATAACATACATAGCTGATTGGCCAATTTAAAATAAAATATTTTCATTAGTAAAGCAGTGAAAAATTACTAAGCACTGGCTGATGTGAATGGATGTATGCTATCGAGGTGTGTGCTAACGGAACTTTTTCGATATTTTATACTTTGTTCTCACACATATTGATATGAAATATTAAATATTTCGTAAATTAAACTATTAAATTTGTTTATAATCGTATCTTAATACTTTTATGAACAGAATAATGAGATGAAGTGTAAAGTTAGTGTAAAGAAAATTCATAGTTACTTATTTAAAAAATTATCTACATATGTTTTTTAAAGCAACTATGAATTTTGTTTACACTATTGCAATTCATCTCATTATTCTGTTCGTAAAAGCATTAAGGATTATAAAAGAGATTGATATATTATGAAGTATTTAATATTTCGTATCGATATATGTGCCAGAATAAAGTATAACATATCTCGTAAATTTTGGTATCTAATTTAATATTTTTTTATACGCAGAATAATTAGAAGAATTGTTTTATGTAAAAAAATTATAT